ATAGATAGATAGATAGATATTTGCTCTTTTTATTGGGGACTTTTCGTTGGTGGATAATTGAATATTTAGTTTGAATTTTTTATGGGAAATTCTTTACAGGTCTTCATGGTAACCCAACCATATTTGTTCCTGTATCTTTAGATACAATGTGCCTTTTCGTGGAAATATCCAACAATGGGTCTATCTGCTCAGCACGACTTGTGAAACCTTGGAACTCTGGTTGCAAGTTCAAAGTCTGTGGGTTTATCTTGAGGCTGTTTTTATTGGGAGCGACGTAGCGCAGCAGTTGCCACAGGCCGCCAAAAAGTTCTACGTCGTTGACCGGAATTGGGTTCGCTTGATGGAACGTGCTCTGGATGCACAAAACGTCGTCACATACTGTACCGCCGATTCATCGTTGCAAGATCTGCTACCCAGACTACGTGATCAACTGGAGTCTTGTCAGCATTCTCTCTCCAAATACTTGGAAAGTAAACGGATGTTGTTTCCTCGGTTTTTCTTTGTGTCTGATTCAGTTCTGCTTGAGATTCTTGGACAAGCCTCGGACCCAGGAGCTGTGCAGAAACACTTGATGGCTGTGTTGGACAACACAAAGTCTCTCACTTTCACTCAGAACAAGCAGTGCCATATGATTTTGAAAGTGCATTCTGCTGAAGGTCAAGAACTGGAGGTTAGCTTTGTCAAAAGATGACATTTTGCCGTTGTTTTAAAGGATCTGCGTTGACTGATTTCCTTATTGGTGAGCCCCCCGTGCATACAGCTATCGATTCACGAGGCGCGGGATTTTTTGTGATGCCAAATATCTCAGGTTTTTGTGTGCAATTCAGTGAGAATGGAAGCTGTCCATAAAGGCGAACAAGGAGAAACTCTGAAATATTAGCCACACATCGGCGTAAAGTTGGAGTATGATGGCATATGTTGTTCATTGTATCTTGACAGTGGTGTGAGGTGTGTCCTATAAATGGAGTACGTCTATTCCAAAAGGCCAAGAGACTAGAGCGTACAACATTGCGGTCAACAGCACAAGATCAGCCTGTTTTTGGTTCCCAGCGCCTAATGAGTAGCCCAACTGAATCGCTATTAGACAGGATTGAGCGATGCTCATCCTTCAATCACGGAATTCACATCACGTGATCCCGGTTTTTCTGGCTCCTCGAGTGAGTAGTTCTCAAACGTAAGGTTCGTTTGCATTGGACTTGCCTGGAAAGAACTTCCAGCGCAGTTTTGCAAATTACATCGAATTTATTTCGCCACCCCATCAAGTGTATGCACTGAAAAAGTTACGGAGAATCTTCTGAAGAACACAGATGAGTTGACGAACATGTTTTCGGTAAGGTCTTTTCAAGTCATACAGTTACAAAGGTTGGGAGAGGATGGTGTAAATGGACAGGGGATCGAGTGAGATGACATTGGTTACCTATCAAAGAACCATTAGTTCAGGTCGCCAATAGGATGACTTGAGCTAGTCAGCTCGGGGGTTGTTGTAGTTGTGTGTTCAGCACAAGGTGCATGTGTGAGGGGAGGGGAGTTAGACCATGATAAGTACAACACCGGAACAAAGCGTTTTCGACGACAAAGGATCGGGTCGCGATGTCGTACCGCGAAAGCTTCAGCCACTGCAATTGTGCGTTGCTGTACTGATCTGGGTTGATTAGCCGGTGCATTGTAAACAACGCGGAAGCTTTGGCTGGGTATCACGTTGTGTGCAGTGTCAGCTCAATGTTTTACTACAGAGCTGGTTATCGTCCTCCTAGTTCCAGAAGCTAGCCAGGATGGATTGTGTTCCTTCATTCTTTGGCCGAGTTGCCTAGCCGTGCGTCCAATGTATTCTGCTGCACAGCAGCAAGAGAATGAGTAAACTAACATATTTTGGGCGTGGGCAAGCACTCTATTCTTGAGATTAAAGGGGCACAAACGATTGATGGTTAACCAGGTTCGGAGTGTTGCGGTCGGGAAAACTTTATTCAGACTGGTGGAAAGTCTTCTGTTCAGTTGATCAGCTGATATATCGCCTTTAAACGGGTGGCTGATGTAAGCGGGTTTTCTTCCAACTGTGGCGGTGACGGTGCTGGCTTCTCCGCTCTTCATATGCTTTGTAATGAACTTATCGGGAGCCCGTTGTCTCCCAGGACGTTGGTGAGTGTTCGGAGTTCTTGCTCGAGCGCGTCAGCAGAGCATAGTTTCCTCCCTCTGTTAGTTGGGCTATGGATTCGATTCCGTTTCTGCTTTAGTGGCACGAAGCTGATAAATTCACTGTTCACAAAATCGTTTGTGCAGATCCAGACATGACAGGAAACGAGGGAGGTGTTCGATAAGGATAGTTTGACACTGATACGATGATAAAGTGGAACGTGTAATCGCCTTATTATCCCGCATCCCGGTCATTCCTAGCGAACGTTTTATTCTTCCGACGAATTGGTGCGGAAACTAATCGTAGTGGCTGGTGTAAGTAAATTACTAACGGAAGTGTACGACAAAGCTACCGAATGAGACCACGCAAAAGACGTTTGATAGAACAGTTCGCACCCTTTTCGTCTATGAAACGTCCAAGTAACTTTGCATTTGGTGACATCCAAAGATTTCGCGTTATCAGTCTTCCTCGGAAAGCAACTTGAGATACTGTAGCGCAGCATTTATTGGGCGAAACGATTATCTATCAAATGTACGCAGTTGCACTCTGATACGTGCGAATTGCTCACGAAGTGAGAATGCGAATAGCCGTCATACGGGTGTTTGTTTTCTCGCATTCAAGCTAGCTGGAAATTCAGACTTGTACTTAGAGCGAATCTATCCTGCATATGCCTAGCGAGACCAAAAAATCAAATCAGAGTTGTTTGTTCATGGAATTGTTTTTGACCATCGCATCCTCCTAATGTAGCTGCTTCCACAGTGTATTCTTTGAAGAATACTTCGACGTATTCAGGAAAGCCCACACGCGCAAAATTACAAGCCAGAAATTCTGGATTCTTGAGATTTATCAAAAGATGCGTTACCACATGTATGAACTACGTACTAAAAGGGGTACAAACCTCAAATTATGGGGACCTCTGTCTAAACTGTTGCAAGAAGTAGTGCAAATCCAAAGAAAGCGTGAAGAAGGTGGGAAATCGATCTTAGTTTGCGACACACGCCTGGGTACAACACGTGGTAACGCGAAATGGTCAAAAAGCGCGCGTAAAGGATGGCCGACCGAATTGGTTTGACAAGTCAAGAGGGATTACAAATGCATATGGAGTCTGAGGTAGACGCAGTAAACAGCAGCTAACAAGGGGGGAGTTTGACCGGGGGAAAGGAAGTACATTCTTCCTGAATCCCATCGAAACATTTGTGAAATCAATAGGCAATTTTTTAACGTCAGCTAGAGTCACAAACGACAGATCTATATATCATCAGACTGGACTGTTCGTCATCGTCATTCTCTAGGATAGACTGTCACTCTCTTCGATTTATTTCGGTTTATTTTTTCTTTGAAAATTAATTTTTGGGTGTGCCCAATGCGATACCGAACGGTGCTGATAATCTAATTCACCTGCTTTGTCTTTGATGTTCTTGGATGATTCAGGGTTCGATCCCAAAAGGTCCAGTGGAGCATGGCTCTCTAACCTACTTACTGAAATCCAAGATTCACTGCACAAAAAAGTTCGCGCCGGTTACGTTGCGACGTTTGGATGCGAATTCCATCTGCTTGAGTTTCTCGACTATTACCCGGCCCAAGTTGGAATTCTCGGGCTTCAGTTTATTTGGACAAGAGAATCCACCATTGCTCTGGACGATATGCGCTACGATCCAAAAAGCACCCAGCACACGAACAAACAGTTCCACCAGATGCTTCTTCAGCTTATCGAACGAACCACAGAAAACCTGACAGCCACCGAAAGAGTCAAATACGAGACATTCATCACGATACACTTGCACCAAAAGGACATTTTCGAGAATCTGGTAAGTGATTACCAGTAGAGTTACTGACGTTCATATATCATGCTGCCCAAGGTATCACCAGCTACCTAAAGATGAATTCAACTTGCGCGCACAAAGATGAACATAGTATTCTTGGTACTTTCATCAAGAGCGGTATTCAACCATGGAACTTTAAGTCACTCGAGCCTCGTCTGTTGTCTATGCAGCTTGGGCGCGATCTTCAACGGCAATCGCCCTCCTAATATAACAGATGTTAGTCGATCGCGTTAGGTTGTTTCAAAACGCTTTTAGACTGCGTAACCGTTGTTTCGGTAGTGAGGGAGACCTAGTTCCAGACAAATTTGGCCTCGCGACCACTCCTTTCCACACCTGAAAACTTGAACTTGGATATTCTATTGAATGACTTTTAGTCACGGGGCCAGCATTCACCAGTGATCATCAACCTACAAAGCACGTACTGTCAAATGGAACACAGAGCACCTAACTGAAGATATCTTTGATTTCTTGCAACTGTGTAAATGCGACTCATACCTAGAAGTTCATTTTCCCCATCAACGACCTCCGACAGTTGTAAATTATTAAAAAAAGCTTTCCGTTGAGAAACCTGGTTGTCAGCTCTGTTGACAACGTCCCAGTCAGTTTCAAACTACGCTAAAAAGACAACAGAACTTTTACGGATCTGAAGAAGGGCAAAAATTTCGAAAAAATCTCCTAACTACTTACAAAAAAACGGGAAAGCTATCAAAGGCGAATAAGGTATCCAAGTCCGGACGCAGCTGCACTATGAGCAGAGAAACTCCTCAAGAAAGGCCCAACTTTTTCTGTGAAAATCTGTTCTTTACAATAATTAATAATCAATTTGCCGAATAAGCAGAAATGGTCAAGGCCAACCAGTTGTGATGGCCTGTGTCAAACCCTAAGATTAGTTTCCACCAGGTTGTAGGCATCCGAAGTTACGGTCTTCATTTTTTGCTCTACGATTTTATTCTCTGCTGTTATTGGGTAGACGTGTTTTGACTATTCGAGAACAAGAGGGAAACATAGCGATGGAAGAAAGCTTTCATTCCATTCACTACACTCTTCCTAATAGACTTTGATTCGAAATGTTGAGTTTGCACCATACTACCTCCACTTTTTCCACAGTGCAACTTGGGCATTTCCAGTTCGACCGACTTCGAGTGGACCAAGCAGACGCGTGCTTTCTGGCTGGAGGATAGCGACAAATGCGTGATCGCAATAACCGACGTGAAATTCATCTACCAGAATGAGTTTCTGGGTTGCGTTGAGCGTCTGGTCGTCACACCTTTAACGGATCGGTGTTATATCACGTTGGCTCAGGCGCTGAATCTAGGATTTGGTGGTTGTCCAACGGGTCCAGCTGGAACTGGGAAAACAGAAACAGTGAAAGTACGTATTTGGGTCGGTTAGTTTTGTGTTTGTGACTGTAAAAGCCAATGACCAGATCCATCCTCTTTGCGGATGACCCGCTTGGTGTCTGTTGTACTCTTGTAGGTTGTCTGATTGGGTCTACACTTGAAAACAGCAATGATATGCATAAGTCAGTCACATGATCTGGGTGTGTTTCAGCCCTCGAAAAAGCAGTCCGGTCAGCCCGGAGCGCAAAACATTTTGCGCTAGCTAGCAACACCAAAGCTCCCCAACTTCTCCTTCGTCGCGAGCAAACTCAGAGCGTTCATATCCGACTGCTGTCCTCGTTCCAGTGCCTTAGTGCCGGGAAACAACTCGTCGACGAGGAACACAAAAGCTTTATTACAAACAAGCGAGTGCGAAAGTATAGCGGCCTCACGCCATACATTTAATATCTGTCTAAATGACTCCTGGACTTACAATCTCGAACCCACAAGTTTGTCTGGTTGGGAATGTACTACAGTGTCTTATTCAGGGATATACCTACTCGTAATGTGTATTACTTAATATTTGTAAAGCATTGTAAAAGCAAAAAAAAGGCGGTAAGAGCATGTCAAACAGAGTGAAGTCTGGTCTTTGGTTCTGCCAGTCACAGTTCAGATAAAAAAAGGTTTGAAAACTGTTTTAAAACTGCGCAATGCGCATTCGTAGCTGTTCGCGTCATCTTTGTTTGCCACCCCTGGTAGCTGGCAACCCCTGTCTACTGTCAAGGTCCAGTGGAAGCATGGCTCTCTAACCTACTTACTGAAATCCAAGATTCACTGCACAAAAAAGTTCGCGCCGGTTACGTTGCGACGTTTGATGGCGAATTCCATCTGCTTGAGTTTCTCGACTATTACCCGGCCCAAGTTGGAATTCTCGGGCTTCAGTTTATTTGGACAAGAGAATCCACCATTGCTCTGGACGATATGCGCTACGATCCAAAAAGCACCCAGCACACGAACAAACAGTTCCACCAGATGCTTCTTCAGCTTATCGAACGAACCACAGAAAACCTGACAGCCACCGAAAGAGTCAAATACGAGACATTCATCACGATACACTTGCACCAAAAGGACATTTTCGAGAATCTGGTAAGTGATTACCAGTAGAGTTACTGACGTTCATATATCATGCTGCCCAAGGTATCACCAGCTACCTAAAGATGAATTCAACTTGCGCGCACAAAGATGAACATAGTATTCTTGGTACTTTCATCAAGAGCGGTATTCAACCATGGAACTTTAAGTCACTCGAGCCTCGTCTGTTGTCTATGCAGCTTGGGCGCGATCTTCAACGGCAATCGCCCTCCTAATATAACAGATGTTAGTCGATCGCGTTAGGTTGTTTCAAAACGCTTTTAGACTGCGTAACCGTTGTTTCGGTAGTGAGGGAGACCTAGTTCCAGACAAATTTGGCCTCGCGACCACTCCTTTCCACACCTGAAAACTTGAACTTGGATATTCTATTGAATGACTTTTAGTCACGGGGCCAGCATTCACCAGTGATCATCAACCTACAAAGCACGTACTGTCAAATGGAACACAGAGCACCTAACTGAAGATATCTTTGATTTCTTGCAACTGTGTAAATGCGACTCATACCTAGAAGTTCATTTTCCCCATCAACGACCTCCGACAGTTGTAAATTATTAAAAAAAAGCTTTCCGTTGAGAAACCTGGTTGTCAGCTCTGTTGACAACGTCCCAGTCAGTTTCAAACTACGCTAAAAAGACAACAGAACTTTTACGGATCTGAAGAAGGGCAAAAATTTCGAAAAAATCTCCTAACTACTACAAAAAAAACAGGAAAGCTATCAAAGGCGAATAAGGTATCCAAGTCCGGACGCAGCTGCACTATGAGCAGAGAAACTCCTCAAGAAAGGCCCAACTTTTTCTGTGAAAATCTGTTCTTTACAATAATTAATAATCAATTTGCCGAATAAGCAGAAATGGTCAAGGCCAACCAGTTGTGATGGCCTGTGTCAAACCCTAAGATTAGTTTCCACCAGGTTGTAGGCATCCGAAGTTACGGTCTTCATTTTTTGCTCTACGATTTTATTCTCTGCTGTTATTGGGTAGACGTGTTTTGACTATTCGAGAACAAGAGGGAAACATAGCGATGGAAGAAAGCTTTCATTCCATTCACTACACTCTTCCTAATAGACTTTGATTCGAAATGTTGAGTTTGCACCATACTACCTCCACTTTTTCCACAGTGCAACTTGGGCATTTCCAGTTCGACCGACTTCGAGTGGACCAAGCAGACGCGTGCTTTCTGGCTGGAGGATAGCGACAAATGCGTGATCGCAATAACCGACGTGAAATTCATCTACCAGAATGAGTTTCTGGGTTGCGTTGAGCGTCTGGTCGTCACACCTTTAACGGATCGGTGTTATATCACGTTGGCTCAGGCGCTGAATCTAGGATTTGGTGGTTGTCCAACGGGTCCAGCTGGAACTGGGAAAACAGAAACAGTGAAAGTACGTATTTGGGTCGGTTAGTTTTGTGTTTGTGACTGTAAAAGCCAATGACCAGATCCATCCTCTTTGCGGATGACCCGCTTGGTGTCTGTTGTACTCTTGTAGGTTGTCTGATTGGGTCTACACTTGAAAACAGCAATGATATGCATAAGTCAGTCACATGATCTGGGTGTGTTTCAGCCCTCGAAAAAGCAGTCCGGTCAGCCCGGAGCGCAAAACATTTTGCGCTAGCTAGCAACACCAAAGCTCCCCAACTTCTCCTTCGTCGCGAGCAAACTCAGAGCGTTCATATCCGACTGCTGTCCTCGTTCCAGTGCCTTAGTGCCGGGAAACAACTCGTCGACGAGGAACACAAAAGCTTTATTACAAACAAGCGAGTGCGAAAGTATAGCGGCCTCACGCCATACATTTTGATTTTGATCCAAGGCTGTCTGACCGAGTTTGACAGTCATGTTAGGTTTCGGGTGTTCTGGGATAATCTTCAGGAACCTGACCTTATTGAGGGACAGACAGCCGTAAACAATGGGGAACTCAATGAAACACGGGTACTCAGGTTTCAATTTGGTAGCTACCATACTTTCCGCTATACCATCGTTTTACCGACTTCATCGTATATCTTTCCCTAGGACATGGGTCGTTGTCTGGGACAATATGTTGTTCAAGTTCAATTGTCGGGACAGATGCAAATCGCGGGACTGGGTCGCATATTCAAAGGACTTGCCCAATCCGGAGTGTGGGGCTGTTTCGACGAATTCAATAGAATTGAACTGCCTGTGCTTTCTGCAGCTGCCCAGCAAATCGCCATCCTACTGCAAGCAAAGCGAGAGCAGAAGACCTCAATCCCGTTTTCAGATGGCGATATCATTCCAATGAGTTCGGAATTCGGAATTTTTATCACATTGGTCAGTTATTTTTGTGAATTTTACTCACGCTTCTTTGGAAAAATCAATAGATAGTTCCTCTAGCTTTTGGAGGGCTAAATATACTCCACAGTTCCACTTTTTGCACAACGTTGACAGCTACACCTACACTTGTTTACAGAATCCAGGCTGTGCTGGAAGGCAGAGTTTGCCAGAAAACTTGAAAATTAGCTTTCGTATGGTTGCAATGATGATTCCCGATCGTCAGATAATCATTCGAGTGAAACTGGCTGCGTGTGGCTTTGTGAACAGTATGACCTTGGCGCGAAAATTCCACTGTTTGAACCAAATTTGTGAAGAGGAGCTGACAAAACAGGTAAGTTGAAGCAAGTGGTCCAAACGCTATCAGTCTCCACGCCTGACAGTCGTGTTAAACTGAGAACCATGCAAGCATTTCCCACTTCCCTGCTTTTTTCAATCAATCTGGCGTTTCCCGCTGCATCCATGATATGTGCAAATGGCTCCGAATTTGAGCTTCAGTGACAGACGGTATTTATTCAGATAAGAAATAGATTGGAAACGCTCCGTTGTTTCCAAGGGAACGTTTCACAGCGGCGGGAAAGATGCATACAATAGATGAGTCGAATATCGGCTAAAAGATAGGCTATATTGGCGCTGGATATACGTTTTGAACGCCTCTTTCTTGATGTGTTTGTGGCAAAAACCACACTGAGCTTCATTTCTGTTAGCCAACAAAAAACGGCCGGGGCAAAAGTTAAGATTCGAATGACCAGGTGCGAAAACTGAAGATGTCATACAATGTAATCATTGTCCAAAACGCATTGACGAACTCAAGTTATCAAACCACACAGTGTGGATCAACCGATATGGTTAGCCAAGTTTTGCTGGAGTGGAAACCAGTTGGCTGAAGTCATGAAGTTAAGGCAGTCGTTCAGAAAAAGGTCACCTTAACAAGCCACTTTCATCACTGGAAGTGTCACGCAGCTCAACATGGTCGTTTGTAGCGTGTAAGCTCGAACTCGGCAACCAGCATCTTCTCGGCGATAACGTGAACAAGTTAGATGTTGCGGAAAACTGACCTTCTTAGGTAAACCTAGCCTGTAGCAGCAGACCGTTGACCCAGGGATTCTGTTCTAGATCCCAATGGCTGTTACCTACTTGCAGTTTCCTTGCGGTCCGCTGACGGAGACAAAACAACGTCACCATGTGTTCCTGTCTGACTATTTCTAGAGTCGCAGTTGCGTCTGGAAGAAAGCAGGCTAGATCAATCTTTCGGTGGTCACCAAAAGTAACGGATGTGTCTGACTCTGGTCAGGTGAATACAACCACACGTTGTGTAGATTTAAGCAACTACGGCGGTGCCTTCCGTAAAACCGCTAGGCTCGAGAAGTTGAATACATTGGTGCGTGTTGACAAAGATGTCGATATTTTTTCTCCCTTCTAATTATGCATAAACATATTCATCGTTTATTGGTTTTATTCTCCACTACCTAGTAACTAAATCACTGCGTTTATACGACCATCTGATCACGTTGGTTAAGGACGATGTTTCCTACCTGGGTTACTTTAGAAACCACCATTTGGCGTAAACCCAAGTCCGGAGGGTTCGGGATGTGAGAGATGGTCCAGGTGGCTATAGTGCGAATTTACTGACCAGGAGGCTCGTGGTTCAAACCCAACTTCTGCTTCTTGCCTCCTCCTGTCTAGGCTTGGGCAACCTGGCAGCATCCCAGCCGTCGTGGACCTTCGGGTGGCATGGAAGTTAGGTACCGAAAGGGTGCTACAGCTGAACGATTTCGATTTTGCAGGGTTCGATGTTTTTGCTGTTGCTTTTCTGTTACAGAGCCCGCAGATCAAACGTTATCTTTGTGCGTGGTTTAACGCCCTATTCCTGATTGTTACTCATCGTCGATAGTTGAGGCTTCGACGCGCTTGGAAACGTGTGAAAAAGTCCACCAATTGTCCTAGTTTAGGGGGTCACTAAGGCTGCAGCCATGATGATCCGATTCACAGCGTCGTTGTATTCTAGAACCCCTTAGTCATATTCCTTGCGATCAGTAATCAGCGGCTGCTCACTTTTGCTCAATAAATGGCAGTATCACTGGTTTAACCATTGGACTTCAAAGATATTTGTCCTCCAACCTATTGGAACGATGACTCCAGTTTGAGTTCTGCACCGTTCGTGGGTTCAGAGAGCGTACCAGAACGGATAAAGATGTGACCTTTGAAAGGTCAAAGTTTAATCTCCAGTGTGTGCCTTGAATGTGGCTGCCTGCCTGATTTTGCCAATCCATACGCTTTTTTGTTTCACTATTAAAGACGAAAACCACACTAACGGAAGTGTATTTTCTTTGTCAATCAATTTTTTCGAGGTCCATTACGACTTTGGACTACGCAACGTCTTATCAGTATTGCGCTGTTTGGGGGCCGCGCGAAGATTGCATCGTGAAGAACCGGAAGAACAAATTGTGATGACAGTACTACGAGACATGAATTTGAGCAAACTGATTGATCAAGATGAACCATTGTTTTTATCGTTACTGGATGACCTGTTTCCTGGAGGAGCGCTGGAAAATGAGGAGCCCAACACCACCCTTTTGGACACAATCCACAAACAAACTATTGAGGCGAAACTCATCCCTCATAAACCATGGATTACAAAAGTCGGAAATGTGAGTCTGGTGGTTGGTTACGTGTTTATAAATGGATCTGGCGGTCAACAAACGACAAGTTGTGTCACTGTTTCATTCGGCAGGTTTGGGAAGTATTTATTTACTTATTGGAATGCAACACTGGGGTCCGTCAACCAAGAGAGCAAACCTTATTTCAGCCAACAGCTCACAAGTCCCTTAATTCGGCATCATCTTCAGTTTGCACTTTAGATGCATTTCAGTATTCTGTAACTATAGATGAGCCAGTACAGAACGCTAATGCAACCATATAAGCTCAGTAACCAATCAGTTGACTTATGCTACACCTTTGGCTTCCAATATCTTCTTGTGCACAATTCTTGGAAGTCTATTTGAGACAATTTTTACAGTGAGGACATATCTGATTAGCGGTTGATTGATAGAATAAAGACTTTCAGCAAAAAACTCAGAAGATTGTTCCAGCTTTTGGGTACTCGGTTGACATCGTGCAACATTTCTGTGTGGACCATATCTCAACGTGAGGACAATTATATATCCTAAACTCTTAGTTTGACAGATTTTTAGCCGGCCAAATCCGAGGAGATGTTGCTTGATCCAGTCTAAATCCAGTAATTGCACTTTAGCCGAAGTACATTTTTCGTCCCTCCATCACTCCAACGACCACGTGATCAGAACAAATTGAATAACGTGAAACTACTTTAGGCAGTTTATGAAAAAGCTGTTGGATTCTTTCAGAATAGTAGCTTCCACGTGCAGCACAAGCATTTCCGGGCATAGAGGCAACTTTCACTTGGAAGATTGTGAATGCCAACTTCTCACTAGGATCGTTTGTCCGTAACATGGTTCAAACTAACACATCATCGATGAAAAATAGTTTCTTGTTTCGTTATGTGACACTTGGGGATGTTACGATTCCATCCTGCAAGTGAAGCTAATCTATGCTAAAAAGCCAAAAAGCACTATAGAAGTGCTTCATTCTTATTGGGAATCATCAGCAGTGCGCAACTCAGGAAACTTCAGAGAGTTTTGAACCTTCTGGTTAGCAGTTTGAACACGTAACCGCCATGAGCGGCTGATAAGGGATGTGATTAGCTTACCGTCCATCCTTCAGTCACGAACGTCGCATCATTTGGCCATAAGTGTTGACTGGTTCCTCGAATGATGATATCTCCAATGGAAGTCCAGGTGAAATTGCTTCTTCCTTTGAACTATTCATAGCCTGTTGGTAGCCAGCTGGGTCACAAATGGGTCTTGCATCAGCTAAGTGAGGAACAAGCATAGATAGTAAAATAAGGCGGAAATAAAGTCAGAAATCGGAGCGCTGAAAGGGTCACTAATATCCACATGTAAGCGTGACGTATGTTCTTGACTGGCTGATCAATGACCATTACAATCGAACGCATTGGTTGAACCACTTCCGTCCCTACAGAGTTGGACTTCGCGGCTTATTGATCGCGTTCAGCGGACTACTTTTGATTGGTCCCTTGGAATTTGATGAACGATGCTCAGCGATTCAGTCGCGTTAACTAAGTTGCCTACATCTGTTAGATGGCTCGGGAGTGTGCTGTGACCTGACACCTAAATCCCCGGTTCAAGCCAATTCTGTGTAAATCCTTCATTTCACGGTGCCGTCGTTCTTGCTTACCACTGACGTTGAAAAGATGAAGACAATTTTCATGGTTTTCTTTTTTCACGAAGGAAACTACTCACAAGGTTGCTGGTACTCTCGGACGGCAACCTTGCGAGTAGTTTCCTTTATGAAAACATACTGTGATATCCCGAATATCGTGCCAACTGAAACATGAGGCGGCACATCCAGTTGTAGAATATCATAAACGAGAGATTCAGTTGAGTCTCTCGTAAAAACGAAACTGACTGAATTTTCATTGTTTTGGTCAGGCGGTCCGATGCGCTTTGTAGGGTTATCCACGGGGCAATTCTCAGTGACTGGCCAGGAGGTATTAATTGCGAATATGTCACCTACATATAGTCGATACTTTTGAAACTGACCGAAAATAGGGTTTAGAAAATTATATGAAATTATACTCGCGAAGATGTTGGTTAAAAAGTTTCAGTTGATGGATGGACAGAAATTCTACCTTGTTGTCTGTAAAGAGTGATACTGAAATTAAACTGTTAATTAAAGACGCGGAAAAATAGTGATATTTTGGATATATGGTTGTGAGATTGAAGTCAATTTCGGCATCGTTGAGTCACACGACTAAGTCGTACTTTTTTGAGGTAGATCAATGGTTAAAACACAAACTTACTGACCGCAAAGTCTGTGAGTCGAACCCAACACCTGCACCTCGACTGCTCATATGTAGGCTTGAGCTACCTGGTGATATCTTAGCCTTCGAGCCTTCTTCGAGTGGCAATGCAGCTAGACGGAGCGATTTTGTCACTTTTTTAATCAAGAGTAAATTTGTGGCCAGAAACTGCACATCAAAAGAGTACATAGCTTTGCCACAAAACACTAACGGGCCACTGCATAGCACAGGGTCCAACCAAGCCTCTATGCCACCCACCAAAGTTTGATCGAAGATGCGAAAGTAGAGTGACTTCTTGGCAGTATAACGAACACAGTGAGTGTAGTTTTTGTCAAGAAAATACACATGAGATTCTTCACTATCTTACTCTAAATTCAGCCAGCAGAACAACCATCCCACTGCCTGCCAGGATATACTTGAATTTCAAAATATCCACTTAGGCACCACCACATAGTGCGTACTCGTTCATCACGTTTAAAGAGCGTTGCGTCTTAGGTTAATCACTGGATCTTGCCAAATTAGCCAATTATACCAGGTTGTGTTGCTCACTTGCCTACACGAAGGTGCTATTGCACCGTTCCACCGAATGGAGATGGCAAGATAGCTCAGTCGTTAGAGTGCGACTTTACTGGCCGGAAGGTCCGTGGTTCGAATCCGACCTCTACATCTCGACTTCCCCTCGGGCAACCTGCAGTATCTCAGCCTTCGTTCTTTCTTCGAGGGGCATGACACCGATTAATACGATTAATACTAATATTACAGAGTACTCTGCACATTAGAGAATGGCTGACCAAATATCGCAGCGTTAGGCGACTCGATCACTTTCATCTGTCAGGTCAGTAGGTTTCAGTCAACTCGACAACTCCATCTGTGGAGAGGGATGAATAACAAATCTATTCGACCTATTTACTGTTCGAATCAGTGCACTCACTGTGCTATCCATCCTTGCCCTCTACCATCTTTGAGTCACGTTCACTTCAGCCTTCAGAATCAAGCCCCGGAATCCCCGCGCCTGTTCGTTTTCTCGTCGATTGGCCATGTGCAAGGGCCTGTTTCCTGCATCTACGCCCCATGGCCTAGTTCGGTGTCGGAATCGAGGTCGCCAAGCTGACAAGTCAGTTAGCTGATATCTGGCCGAAGAGTACTGGATTTCCGAGGGGCATTCGACTCGGTTGATCGGTCTGTTCTTCTTAAGACGCTTGCCCACCAAGAAATGCTCCGGAAGTTTGTAAACGTAATACGTTCTTTGTATTCTCAGACTTCCGGACGTGTGAGAGTGTACGGAGAGCTCTCCAAAAGCTTCCGCACATAAAGCGATGTTCGTCAGGGATGGCCACTCTGTCCATTCCTTTTTAACTTTGCGATCGATGAAATAATGAGACAGACGCTGCAGGGTCTCCAAAACACTGGTGTTCAAATAGCCTGTGAAGAAAATCTTGTCGATCTGGAATATGCAGACGACACCGTTCTCATGTTCGAAGAGGAGGAAAAGGCGCAAGTATTGTTGGATGAACTGACCAAAGTCATCCCGTCCTTTGGTATGCACTTTGCACCCACAAAGTGTAAGGTCATGCTTGTGGACGTGCAGTCACTGAACACGCCACTTAC